AGTATTAAAATTTTGCAGTTTAAGCCAAAAAACAGTACGTCTTTTATATACTATATACGTAAGCTTAACTAGTAAATATTAACATTAAATCCTTTATAAATTAAATAAATTCAAGGAAGATATTTTGAAATCCCGCCTTAATTAAGCTTTATTCATTATTAAAATTGATTATAAAAGTTCTTGCAGCTGTAATTAATGAAATCTTAACTTTATATATTTTACGCCTTCGTTTTCTCCAAAAAAATCAATTTCACGTACGTTAAAGTTCACTGAAATTTCACTCGACTCCAGAATAAAAATTTAGTAAAAATAAATTGAAAGTCTTTTATTACCCTTTTATTAAATTTGTAATGAGACTAGATACCATTCTTGTTTTGAGCTCTTATTCTTTAAAAACTCCAAAACTATTATATTTAAAATATATCTACCTATATTTTGAATAATAAAAAACAATTAAATAGAAAACCTAAAGCTTAATAATCATCATCATGTATAATTAATTTACTATATACTAAAAATTATCTCATTTTCCGTCTCATTCATCCTATTATATTGCTGTTGTAGAAACAACAACCTACATAATGAGAGAGATGAAAGAATAAAGAACAAAAAAATGGAATAAAACGTAAAATTTTGGTGTCTTCATTTAATTTTCTTGTGACCATTATATGTTAATACTATGTGGTAAAGCGCATTATTCGACCATTCATGAAATTCTATTTTCTCTATATAGCAAAAAATAGATAAAAAAAAAGGCACGAGAAAAATATCCTTTTCTTTACTTTTTTACTAAAACATTATACAAGTATATATATATACATAACACACACAAAACACGCATATATACAAACCAAAATCGTTTTATATCTCACTATACCATAAATCTTACCACTTACGTTTTTATTTCCGCAACCATCTGCAACATCCTTTATGGGTTTAAAGTTAAAATGCATAACCGAACTAGTTTTTAAGAAAATTTTTTGTTAAAAGAAATTAACTTAAAACCACATAAAACTTTAATATGTATGTATGTATGTAAATAGAAAAATACCTTTAAAATGAAAATTTTGCAAATAAAATGAATGGTTTTTTAGAATAGCACTTTTCTTCGAAAGATCGTAGTGTCATAATGCGTTTAATGTTGCCATATACAAATTTTTAGATTAGAAGAAAAATGAAAAAAAAATTTGAAAAAAAAATTAAATTTATTTTCATCAAATTAGTTGAAAAATTTGTGAGTATCATGGAGGTAACAAAAGACGATACCTAAAGCTGCGTGCAAACACAATGCAAACATAATTATATTAATTAATTTCAGTTACTTACGGCAGAGCTTTCCACTAGTGGAGTTAATAAAGACGGATTTTAAGTGTAACCTATATAATTAATTGGCTTGCATAATATAGTTGAAAAAATTTAAGGTAAAATTAACTGTAAGAAGAATGAATTCTAGCAAAACCAACCCCATAATATGTGAACAAGACAAGTTTGAAATAAGAATTGTAGTCATTCGAACTTATGGTTTTAAAATAGCAATTTGGCACATTTCTCCTTAAGAATTTAAATTAAGAGCTTATGTTTATGCATACGTTTAGATTTTTGCGTTAAAAGATCGTTGAATAATATTCTTACTTTTTATAAAAATTTGGTTGTTCATAAAATAATAATTGCTGAAAATAAATTTTGTAAATTTTAAAGAACTACTCAATAGGCAGGGGGTAGAAGTACATAAAAATTATGTTCTATATACTATTCGAAAAATGCATTCCCTAATATCTTGAACCGCGTAACAGTTTGTACGTTAAAATATTTTACTTTAAAAACAACTAAGTTAAGCTTGACCGGTGCATTTATTTTTATTTTTTATTATGACTATATTTAAAAGGATAAGAGCAACACACATTTATTTTTTTTTATTATTATTATTTTCCTTCTTTTCATTTTAATCCTAATACGGGAGAATATTTATAAGAAAAAAGAAAAAGCGGAAAATAAAAGAATCTTTACACATTCACTTGTGTATTGAAATAGGACTAAAAAGGATATTAAGGTTCATAAAGTTTGTTAATTTGTAAATACTTATCATATAGTAGGTATAAATTACATTATGTTTATATGTATATAACATGTAGAAAAGTCATTGTCAGTGAAAAGATTTCAACTGCTGTAGATGTTGCAATTAAATTGTGTTATTATTTTATTTAGGGTTTCAAACATTTGTTTGTTAAGTAGGTATAAATTGAAATATTTAATCAAGGACATTAGAAGCTATTATTACAATTAAATGCATTTTAGAATTATCAAAGATAATATCAATTATAAAAGATGTGTTAAATTTTCTGTAGACCCATAGCATAACAAGATTTAATTATATACATATAAATATATACATATATCTCTATTATAAATTGTATTTTTTTCAAATTTTTGAATGTTTTACTTTTCTTTACATAAAAACTATTCAAAATTGTTCAAATTTCTTGAGAAAAATTTGACATTTAATGAGTGAAGAATGATGCAAAATTTTAAATCTATGACTGCACAATTCTTTTTTCATTCTTTATATATCATTTTGTATTCTGCTATAATATTATCATTAATTGACTTTTGATTTTACATGCAGTATATATAATTATTATATACTAATGCATAATTTTATTTATTGAATTTCATACTTGGTTTTCTTTTCAGTTTACAAAAGAACTCTTTGAATTTCTAATATACATACATATGTATGTAAGTACACTTAAATTTACTCTTAAATGTATGGGTATCTTGTTACATACACACATATTTTAAAAAACCCTCTATAATGAAATATCAAAAGCTGTGAATTTTTAATAATGGCTCATAAATTTTATTGGTGGCATGTAATTATGGTAGAGTTTTTATTAAATTTAAAAACTAATAATAATTTATTTATCATATTTATTCCAAGGTTGTATTGAAATTTTAAAATTTGATAAAGACATTGTCGCATCTACAGACCATGCTAGATAATTTGAAAGTGCATTTTTTATATATGTATGTAGATGTAAATATAAAATCTATATTAGAAAGTTCTACAATTTAAGAATCTGAACCAAAGAAAAACATAGAAATTGGAAATGTTTTAAAAATAGTGCATAATCATAAATACAAAAATTTGCTATTGAAAACCGCTGGAAAGTCCAGGAAGATAAACCAGTCTAAAGCAAGTAAAATTTTATACATATATTATATCATATTATGTTCTTACTACTTTTGTATATCCATATGTATATTTGAGTTTATTTTGTTACACAAACATACATATATCAAGAGTTGATATTCTTCTGAAGTGAATTGGGCTTTATGACCAAATGTTGTGATCTACAATGTTATAATTGAATGTTTTTCCCTAATGATCTGGAATCTAAATCCTGCGCTCGAATTTATAAATGCTTAAAATATTAAAAAAAGCTACATACATACATATGTATGTAGGTATTTTTAAGAAAGATTGTATTTTAAGGTGAAAGATAAAATCCTTTGGTTTCTATGTATGAATATACTGTAAAATATAAGTAATTTAAATATAAAATAAATAAAGACCAATTATAAACTTGCATTTATCCTGAGTTGAAATGCTCCAAACTTATGTACATACATACATACATCACATGTAGAAATTAATTTTCTAAAATATATGTACGTTATATATACAATAGTTTTGTTTACTTTATATTATAATTTTATGCTAAAACTTGGAAATTATATACTTAACTTAGCATTTTGATTTAATTTTAAAACAAAATGTAAATACATACATATCGTGCAAAAACACATGCATGCATACTACTTTCTGAACAATATAATACTTTTAACTTAAAAAAAACTCGGCTATTTTTAAAGAAAATTTACTAAAAAAATTCGCTCAAACAAAGCAAGGACACGAACCAAAAGTTTTTGACGTTCATTGCAAAAGAAAAATAGAACTCGTTCACATGTGTGGTTTAGTACATACATATTTGCTGTTTAGTACATGGCTGTTTTTCTTGTCACTTAAGGGAACCAGCATAAATAATAAATAATAAAAGTCATCACAGTTCTTACAAAAAAATGTGATGATTTTTACTCTTTTTAAAAAAAATTTTTATTTGCCGCTCTTTTCATTCGTGAGTAATTTCATAAATAAAAAATTGGATAGAAACAAGGACAAGATTCTATTTTTCTCATACCATTTAGTTTGATTGGATGTACTATTTACCAATCAAAAATGTTTCAACTATTGATCTTTTCAAAATAAACCGTACAAGTTTTCTAAATTGTAAACACTGCATAATAGACTTGGTGGTGAAAATGAAAGTTAAATGAAGTTTCAAAACAACTATGATGCATCTTTTGTTTCTAATGTCCCTCAATTGAGAACAATTTCTCAAATAATAAAAACCGTAAGTGGCAATTAACCTATAAAGAAAAATAAAACGACAATGAAAATCTAAATTAAAGATTTACTTGAATACCATAATAAAACAGATTTAATAGAAGTCAAATTAGAAAATTTGAAAAACTATAAGCCTTGTACTCTTGGTATCTAATGCTTATTGTATTGATTATAAATTTTTTATAGTAACTAATATTTGTAAATAAAATAGAAAAATTAATTTGAAAAACTAATGTGGAAAAGTCAAAGCTGTCAATGTTAATAGTGAAAATACAAATTAATGTTGTATGTCAAAGCTGCCTTAAATTTTGAAATTTGAAAAACTTTTTGTGATCTATACGTAATACGTATATATTTTGAAATATACATTATAATCAAAAAAAGAAATACTAAACTTTTCTGATAACCATAAATAACATTTGAATTAAAAATTATCCAACATTCGAATAAATTAATACACAGAACTAATTTGTGCAACCCTAGCTTTATGAGACAATGAATATTGTCAACGCATACGTCAAAGTGGTCAAGTATTAAGTGTCAATATAATAAGCTTTTTTAATTTTCTTCATTTATAAAATAATAAAGTTTTGTAGTTTCCCCACAGTATCGAGTAAATATTTGCGCAGTTCATTAATTTCAATTGTGTAAAATTGTGTGAATCATTCAAGTCGTGTGAAAAAAATTTTGCTTAAGAAAAAGAAATTTAAATATATTTCGTGAACGCTTCCGCAAGTATTTTTAATATTTATATTTTTGACGAAGAAAAAATAAAATAAATATGAGGAAGATATTTTATCTTCTGTTAGTGGTGTTCCTATCAATACAAAATGTTGTGGAATGTAAAAGGACTTTGAGTGGAGGTAGCAGAAAGACAGGCTCCAGTTCAAGCAGTTATTCATCAAGAAGGACTAGTAATACAAACACACAGCGAACACAAAGTTATGCTACAAGTAGACCAGCCACTAGTAGACCAGCTACATATAATTCTAATACTTATAATAAACCAAGTCCAAATGCAGACAATACAAGACTATCTTACAGTGGAAACACTTATTCACAACCGAACAAGCCTTCTGCACCAGCACCACCACCATATAGCTCCGTAAATAAAAACCAAGCTCCACCACCATACAGCTCAGTTAATAACCCGTCCTCAATCAGCAGAAATCAAGCTCCACCTGCTTATAGTGCAAATAGCCCTGTAGGTCACAGTACACTTCAGCAGGCAAGTTATCCTCGGCAAAGCTATGCAAATAATCATCCACCACCATCATACGGACAACCATCATATCACCAACCAGGTCATTTACCACCTGGAGCTACAATGTATTCAGGACCACCTGGTATGCCCCATGGTCAACCTACATATTATCAACCTGGACATGTGCCAGCCGGTGCAACCATGTATGGTGGTGGTGGAGGATATCATCCAGCACCTGTTGCTCCTCCAACATATTATTCGCCTGGAGCTCTTCCACCCGGTGCAGTTCTTTACCCAGCTGGTCAGGCACCTAAAAGTTCAGGTCCAGGATTCGGTACAGGTCTAGTAGCCGGTGCAGTTGGTGGAGCTATTTTAGGACATGTATTAACACCAACACACAGCAGGGAATATGTTCGACCAGCTAGTAGTGTTTCAAGCGCACCAGCAGATAATGATAGAATTATTATTATAAATAATGGGCCACCAGGTTCAGTTACTACAAACGCCGATGGAACAACTGTAATTAATAATGGAGGTGGAGCAGCTGTTGCTGCTGCGCCAATGGCTCCAATGTCACCACAGGATCCACCAACTCCACTAGCACCATTCCAACCAGGATCAACCCAAGAAGTAAATAATCCTCAAAGTGCGCCAACAAATAATGCTGAGGCACCAGCAGCTGCAGCATTGGCTCCTGCCGCAGTTGCAGCTGGAGCAGCTGTTGCAGATCCTGCTGCTGGCGCAAATAGCACAAATGCGCAACCAGCAGGGCCACCACCTGGTAGTATAGCTTGTTATCCTATAATGGTTAATCAAACAGATCCATCCGATCCAACTAAAGTAACGCAAGTTGAACAAATTGCTTGTTATGAAGTACCTGCTAATCCACCTCCACCATCAGATCAACAACAACAAACTTCTCCACAACAACCGCAAACAGAAGTGCGAGCAGAAATGAATAATCATCCATCCTCAACAACAACTGAATACATGACACAAAAGACATCATCAGCTACTGTAGCTGAAAGTGCCCAAATTAAACAAAGTGGAGCTCTTAATAATCAGCCAGTTTCACTTTGGACTGCTTTAACATTTACAATTTTTGTTTCATGCAGTAAATTCTTAATGTCGTAAAAACATTGTTCGTATTCATAATACAAAGCAATTATAGCTAAACAACACAAAAATTAGAAAACCATTCAAGGTTTAAATTTCGTCTGCCAGAAAATTATAAAAATTTTGAAAAAAAATCTACACAAATTTACATTGTTTTTCTACAATAGTTACCTATATAAAAATTTTGCGAAAATTCATCAAAAAAGTGACCAATAAAAATTTTTAAACTATCAATCACAAGATACAATTTAAATGCAATAGTAAATTAAAATTGGTATAATAACTAAAGACTCTAAAATGACTTTCTTATAAATTTTTGACAATTTTAAATGCATTGTATTTCACGTATAATATAACTGATGCATTCGGAAAGAAGTTGTATTCTTTTTCTAATGAAATATAGCTTTGAAGAAGAAGATTAAATAATACAAATAGAAGTGTCATACAAATGGAATGTTGTATAGAAATTTGTAAAATTTTTTATGTTTATGTAAATCAGTTAGTAAATTTTAAATATAATTATACGGGAATACTTGCATTCAATGTTCTTTTTTATATTTTACAACTTCAAATTTGGCATACGATACTTTAGTAGTTTCTATATTTTAAGTAAAATAAAAAAAAACCTTTAAAAGTAAATTGTAACTTACTAGTCATAAGTGAAGCAGAGAAAAAAGTAATGTTTTTTAAAACAAAGAAATCTATTCGAAATAATTTTTTTATTCTGAAAGTTTTATAGTAGAAAAAGTTTATATAAGTATGAGTATGATATTAAAATAATAAATTCTCGAATTGTGATTAAATTAGAATGTATGGAATTAAAGGTTGCAGCTATTATTTTTTTTATGTTAGAATAGTTATTATAGCTTATAATAAATACAAAGCTGGAAATTCCAGTAAATAATGTACTTGTAATATAAAACACATAATATATCAGTTCTTAGTAATTAAAGTAAATATTGATAAACATACATAATACAGAAAAAAATTGAATTATTAATTTTTTAATATACATAATGGGATTATTTTCTGGTAGCTTAAGCTTAAACAGAAAATTTTCATATTGATTTATTCAAATTGAAATATTGAAATTTTATTATTTTGTTATTTTTCCCATTTGGAATTACAAGTTGATAATATACATATGTAGCAATGTTGTATTAATACGAATTAAATAATATAAAACATAAATAATCTATGTAAAAATAAATAGTTTATTTACTGTTTATATTAAATGGAAATCAAATGCTTATATAAGCATTTATATCATCATGGCATCTTCCAAGAATTGCAAAAAGCTTTTTGTTTTTCTAGAAATTTTTGCCTGATTGCAGTTTTAAAACTTTGCAAACTCAAATGGTAATATTTTTTTGTCCGTCAGAAAAGTTATTGAACATGATTAAATTACAAATTATCAGGTTTTTTGTCGTTATTATTTTTGTTTGTTATTGAGTTAATATAAATATTTTGCTTCTATAATTTTGGTAGATGTTATAAAATATGTATATTAAATTTTTATTATTTAACGATAACAAATATTGGCCGTTCCAATAAAATTCTAACTTTAGTATACTAAGTTGTGATTAAATTTATTTTTTTTTTTTTGGGTGATAATCATTATGGCCTTATAAAATTTTATAAAGTGTAAGGAAATTTAAAGAAACTTAGATTGTTTTGATAACTAATCAGTTTAAAATTGTATTGAACCAAAATAATTTTTGTAGTAATACCAAATTTTATATTATGCAATACAAAAATAAAATTTTCTCATATCTCAGATATTATTGTAATTACAAAACTAAAAATTTAATTTTTCGTATAAGTAATATTTACTCGTTATAAGAAATTCTTCATTATTTTTACATACATTTTCAATATACACACAGTAAACATTAAAAACAAGTTATGTATGTATACTGTGATGCATAAATTTTACAATATGTTATTATTTATATAGGTCAAGGTTAACTTTCATAAAACCCTTATATTTGCTTTCTCATATAGGTACCTACATATTTATAAGTATAAACTATCTCAAAAAATAAAATGAATATCTATATTAAAAGTTACTTAGTATCATAATGTAGTCAATAAAGATAACAATGATACCTGTTTAATTACCCGTGATAATATCAATTATAAGTATGTATATCATTAGTAAAAAAAAAACGCCTCTAAAAAAACTTGTTGTCTGTATAAAAAAGCAAAGACATGCATGTAAACAATAAATTTATTTAAAGCACTATTAACAATCAACATTCATTTTATTTTGTGCAAAAACAAAATTATTTTAGATTTTAAAAGGTCGCTGCGAAAAGCTATAATATATTTAAAATATGTAAGAAAAAATCTCTTCATGAGAATGGAAGTTATTCAATTTAATAGATAGAATTAATTTGCTTTTTTAATTTTTAAAGTCACCCTGTACAATAATATTTGACTTCGAACCTTAAACCATGCGCAAAAGTATGTAAATCATGCCCATAACCAAAAAAGTTTTTATGTATTAGAAAACAAAATCTTTTTATTGTTATAAAATAGTAGAAAGTAGAGGTCAAAAAATATTTTTTTGATTAAATTTTTAATATGAGTTTTTTTATTAGTTAAAACCGATCAACTTGGTAAAATTCATTAACACCATACTTGTTGTTTGCTAAAAATCTTAAGTTTTTTTTTTTCAATTTTTTTTTTATTTGGAAACCTGTTTTTTCTTCGATTAAATTTAAAAAATAAAATTGAAATATACAAATGATATCAGTTCATTTACTGGAAATTTCTTGATTTAAATTTCTAATGTGACAATTTATTTTTAAAATAAAATCTTAAGTGAGTACCTCAATTATGAAATCTAACAAGATTTTTATTAAATATAAACAAAACAATTTAATTTTGAAACGATAAAAAAAAATAGGACTTTTTGTAATTTTCTAATCGCACTGGAATGATCTAAAGTGAGCCGCTGTTATTAAATAATTTAACAAGAGAGCTTACTTAAAAAGGAAGTTTGTAAAAATTCATTGTAATAATTTTTTGTGACGGAGTAATTTCATTGCAAAATTTCATTTTATTCTCACAATAGAATTAAATTATAAATTTCAACGTAAAATGAGTCATAATAGCTTAATAAGTAACTATCTACAAGCAAACATATACATATGTGTGTATATGAATAAATTTTAATATGGTTATTTGGGCAGCAACGAACTTTTATTATTGTAATTTGTTTCATCTTTTTAGTCTTATTTTACACAATTTATTTAATATTAATTAACTATGTATATCATACTAGTTAATAAACAGAAATATATAGTTATTTATGTGAGGGTGGCATTTGATTTAAATTATTTAAATGGTAAGTAGGTAAAAAAAAAACAAAATGTTAAAGCTCTTTATAGGATTGACAATGAAAAAAAAAACTCTTGAAATAGAATTTTTCCCATTTTACGATTTTATTATTATTTTTACGGGTAATTTTATTTTTTTTCTCTTATACGATGTTTGTATTATGTTTTCATACAACATGCTTTATTAAAAAGCGCAATTTTTTTTTTGTTTGTGACAACAAGTGTTGTTGTATCAACAAGTGTATTATTTGCTTCAAATACTTGACTGTAGCACATAATTATTTTTTTTTATTGAACAAAGAAGAACGTACGTACTTGTAAAAAATATCAACTTGTAAAAATAAAAATTTTTTATTCATCTTAAAATTTGTTTTTTTTTTTTTTTTTTCTTAAACTTAGCAGATATTAGTAAGATAGATTTCTTTTGGCTCTTTTTTTGTTTTAATTCGAATATAATAGTTAAGTATGCATTTACTTTGTAATGAAGTTTATTATGAACTCGAAATTTTCTAATGAAAACTGGAATGAAAGTTTAGAGCTTTTTAGGGAAAATATCATACTCATGCATAAAACCAAATTTATAACATAATGTGATTTTTGTAGAAAATAGAATATTTTTTTATGTATTTTTTTTTTTTTTTTTGTTAGTAAACTCAACTCAACTAAATTAATTTCGAATTATTTTCTTTTAAAATCGAATATTGAAAAAGAATACTTTTGTAATTTTAAATATTAATAATCTTGCCTTTGAATTATTCTTAATTTTTCAATTATATTTTATTATAATTAAATTATCTATACTATGTTGTAAATATACATGTGTTGTTTAAGTCAAGAACTATAACTCTACTCTAATTCTATTCTAAATCTATTTAAATTATATAAAAAGAAATATTGAAAAATTGTTTTATTAATTGTTGTAAATTTTATTTATATTTTATAATAAATGTAATTGGAAACACAGTGTCTTTTAAAAATATACAAAAAAAAAAGTGTTAAAAAACTGATGATAATTAAATTTATTAATTAATTTTATTATAATATTTGTATAAATATAAATTAATAATTATTTACGAACATACAAATTTGCAAATATATTTTTTTAATGATAGCTTTTTTATTGTTTATATACAATTTTTTTTTCACTTTTTTTGCATAAATTTATATACATTGTTTTACATACATACATATAAATGTATTCTTTTTAATTAAATTGTTTTTAAATGTTTTCATCTATACTCGTTACTAATATTTATAGAATGAAGATGAGAATAAATTAAACAGGGTGCAATTTAATAAAGTTCTAAAAGAATTTTGATCTTATAAAGACTTGCAAAGAAAAAAAAAGTTGTAATTGTAGTTTTGCATTTAAAAATTAAACGTTTACAGTACGTATGTGAATATGTAACGAGAAATAAATGTGAAAATCTTGTAGCTACTTATTGCAATAAAAGCACAAATAAAATAAATTTTTTTTTTTACTGATTTAAAAAATATTCTAACACTCTTGCACCAAAAATTTCAAAAAAAATGAAAACATAAACTAACAAAAGTTAGTCTATAACAAAAATAATAATAATTTTTTTTTTAAAGGAAAACAATTCTTTTTTTAAATAAATGTGAATAAATTAAGAAAAAATTTATTATTATGTATACATAATATAATAAAAAATATATTTTACAATTTTTGATGTTTAGCCAAAAAAACAAAAGTATAAATAAATAAATAAAAGAAAACTAACTTAAAATTTTGTTGTAATTTTATTTTTAAATTTAAATTTTTAAAGTTTAAACAAAATAAATAAATTTGCACCTAAACGATATTGGGTGTAACAATTTCAAAAGTTTAGCAGTTGATACACAATAAATCGATTTTAGTTTGGAATTTTTTAATTTCAACCACTTTTGCTTTTACTTTTTAACATTTTAAAAAAGCACTTTTATTATTAGTAGTAGTTCAATTAGTGCTTAAGCTCTTTGTAAAACAAAAATTTTGCAAATTTTTTGATTAATTGATTAAAAAAAAGTAAAGAGTGGTTGGTGCAGTAGGATTCAGAACTATAAGTAGGAAACTGACTTATTTAGACCTTCGAAATTAACTCTGTTTTGTCGATGTACATATATTTAAAGAAATCTTTTTGTAAAATCACAACCAAGCTAAATAATGGTAAATAGTAAATGAAATAATTTAAAG